CCCCTCTCTCTCTCTCTCTCTCTGGTAGGCCCCCGGTCCCTCTCTCTCTTTTTCTTTCTCTCTCACACTCATAACAATAAATGGAACAAAACTTTTTTTTTTTTGTTCTCTCTCTCTCTCTCTTGTGTTAGCTCTTAGTCTCATTGATTTCGCTACGTTAGGGCTGCGTTCCCCGCGCCCACGCGGTAGACAATTTCGAAAAAGGCTTCAGGACCGCAGCCTCCTCAGCCTCCTCCGCGCAGCTACCGGTCCTGGCCCTTGCAAGGCCCCAAAACCTCAAAATGCCCACCCTCCCGACGACCACGACGTTGAAATGACGTTGAACGTTGAAATGTCTCAGGGGGGGAAACGCAACCCTGACGGGCTGCGAATATGGAAAAAGCATATGATAAGGTGGGTTGGGTCTTTGTCTCGACCACACTAGAGAAAATGGGGTTTTGACACGGGCTTCCGTACTTAGGTAAAGGCCATGTACTCGCAAGCCACGTCGGCAGTAATGGTGAATGGGAGACTATCAGAGGATTTCCAGCTCACGCGGTCGCTCCGGCAGGGGTGCCCGTTAGCCCCACTCTTGTTTGTGCTGCAGTTAGAAACTCTTTTAGACAATATTAGATATAACCCCAAGATCACCGGCTTGTCCCTTTCCCCTACATTGGAATGGAAGGGAGGGGCGATAGCAGATGATTTGACAGTAGCATGTGAAAATAAAGTATCCACTTTAGTTGAACTTAAAAGTATTATAGATAGTTATTGTGTATTATATGAGGCATCTATAAATTAGCATAAATCCGTGTATTTTCTGTCGGCGGGTTATGAGCTGAAAATGGATTGGGGACTGCGTCAAATTCCAACTGAAAACTCGAAACACTTCTTGGGCGTCAAAGTTTCCTTGCCTGATTGTTTGGGATCTCAAGACCAGATTTTGGCAGACAAGGTGACTGTGAGGATACACAACTGGCATCATAACCATAAGCTATCCTTGTTTGGAAGAGCTCTGGCGGTGTCAGCGGCAGGGCTCTCCCAGTTGTGGTTCCCACTTTCAATACAAAAATTGGGGAATGTTGCCTATGCTCAGATCAAAGGATGTGCGGCGAAATACATATGGAAACCAGGGGGGATGAAGGGGAAGGTTTTCTTACGAAGGTAGTCTGGGACTCAATAGCTCTCCCACGCAAACAAGGGGGGCTGGGAGTGTTGGATCCTAGGCAACAGAACACGGCTCTCCTAGCCAAATGGCCAGTGAAAGCCATGTTCGACAACCCCTTGAAGTTTTGGATACGCTTAACAGAGTACATCTTGGGGAAGGAGTGGGACTTATCGGAAGGAGGAAATGTATGGTTGTGCTTATTGCTTCCTTCCTATGCAAACAGAAGGCCTCAATCTAGAGTCTTGAGAGATATTTTACAGGCATGGCACAAGGTTTTGCCACGCAACTTCAAACATCCTAACTCCAAAGAAGAGGTCAAGAACCAACTCCTGTTCGAGAACAACCTGATTACACAGGAGAATGGGGAACCATTCCTAGCGGGGGAGGGCGCAGGGCGGTTTGGACGGTCCTGAAATTCAAAAAGGAGTGCTTAAGGTGAAACATATCTGGGATGAGGAGGGAGAGAAGTGGTGGACAGAGGAAGAGATGCGAATCAAACTGTCTCGCGTAAGGTTCATTGGGAGGAATCTAATAAGCATAATAGGAGCAATCTTAAGAGATTGGGTACATCTACTAAAAAACGAAACAGAACAGGCGGCAAACACGTGGGTGTACTCAGAGGATGACCCGGGCTTATTATGGAGAGTGTTGGGTCCAGACTTAAAAGAGGGAGTAAAAGTCCAAGAATGAAAAACTCTGAGGCTCACCCAGGGAGAGGCAGAAGGGGGTAAAACTTTAGCCTTTCAATCAGAGAAAACGGTCAAGTCGACAAAGAATACGCAGGAAGCAAGGGTAATATTGAGCAAGGATGCTAAGCAGGAGAAGTTGGTAGGATCCGCAGACCAGTTCAGAGTAGAACCGTTGGCTAAAAACTGGGATCTGACGGGACAGGACTTGACATCATTGGTGTTGTACAAAACCAGAACTAGGACCAGGTTGCTTCAGTCATTTATCAAGGTCCTCCCTGCTCAGCTGGCAAACAGGAGATTGCAGAAAGTGAAGAATGGATTGACTATGCTACCGGACTGGACTCAGTTTTTTGAAGGTTCTGTTGATCCTGCCTTCCCAGAAAATCGCAGGCCTTTTGTGGTTACAGGCCTTGCTGGTGATGGCTTCGGCGTTGTGGTTAGCCCAAAGAGGGATGGAAATATCACCCACTTGCAGCAGATGCAAGTGGGGTTGGGAGCCTAACGCACACGTGTGGTTAACCTGCTCGTTGGCAAAGGAAATGTGGATCTGGTGGATTCATCATTGGAAATTAATTACAGGGCCTTCATGGCCTTGGACGGATGACTGGGTACTCTACGGCATCCCACCTCGACGAGCTCCTCTCTCAAAGAAGTAGGGGGCTATGTTGTGTTGGTTTGCAGAGGGGTGGTCCTCCAGGAAATATGGAGAGCCAGGAACTCCTGGGTTTTCAGAAGGACAAGAATCTTAGTGCAGGAACAACAGCATCAAGTACGAGGTATGATTCGAAGTATGGTAATGGTGGACTGGCCGACCTGCTTCCTGAGTAAAAAAAAAGGTTATAATTGGTTTTTGAAAACGTGGGCAAGGGATAATCAATTGGCGGCAGTAAAAACAGACAGGAAGTTGGTTATTTCTAGATGGCTACTCCCTGCA